AACATGTTGACCTTGATGCTTGAGTTATTATGCACCCTTCTTTCAAAGCCATGTTTTATTCCTGCCATTACTCAAATTTGCAAGTTTATGGAATCTGTGACACTGAGTTAATGGGACCCGAAAGGAAAACGGATAACTAAGAAATAAAGGAGTAGCGGGCTATGTTTAGGCCATAAATAATCGTGTGCAAATGGAGGACATGCATCATTATTCAGCAGCCTAAGCTTTAGGGTTATGGAATAGCCAGCATCTGTGAAGGCTCACAAAAGAGGGGAGGGGGTATATAAACCTCTCCAACCCCAGGCAAAATAGCGGTTCTAGCTGTAAGGGAGCAGCAGGAATCGGCAACACTAACCTGTGTAAGGGAGGCAGGGAAGAAGTGGAGGCGCCTCTGAACCAATTAGTGGAGCTACAGATGGGCACACCCCTGGCATGTTGCCCTCCTGTGGCAGTGTGGGTGCATGCCATTCCTGTTGTAAGGCGCTATGGTTACATGGCCAGCATTTAGCCCTGAGGCTGTTTCTAGTCTTGAGGACTTTAGTTTTGCTGTCAGGACAGTATTGAACAGAGCAGCTTGCTGTTTTAGGCAATGCCAGCAATGACTGTTCAGGTGGTTGGGAAATACCAATCTGTTGCCGTGCAGCTGCTGTGCTCGGCCGTTACTAGCAGGTGCGTTGCTATTCTTAATTGTTCATTTAGTTTTATATCTGGAATTTGTCTTCCCTGGGTTTACACTGAGCTAAGTTCCATGTTCCTTTCCTCTCCTGCAGCTGAAATTGAAATGGTTTAATTGCAGATTGTGTGTGTGTGTGTGTGCGCGCACGCACTTCTTAATTTCCTAGTGTCTGTGCTGTGAAATGGCACCAGCCTAGTTCTTACAGTAATTCAGAGGACATGCATTTTATTAGCTTGGTGCCTGCTGTATTTTCAGGGTTCATCTGCCAAAGACATCTGGGTCTGTAGGGCTGTTTGCAAAATACTGTACTGAATTTTTTTATATGTGCTGTTTGCATTTTCTTTACAGCTAATTGGCAGTCTGCCTGAGGGAGAAACATATTAGTGACATTACTTTTGAAGATAACTGGGCCTACAGGGATATCTACTGTCCAGAAATAGGGCATGCGTCACATTACTTATAAATCTAAGCATCCTAGTGCTTGACCCCAACTTTTCTGCCCTGTAACTAACCACTCAGCCTTCACCCTTTACACCACATATCAATTGTGAGGTAGGTAAATGTTGTTATACCCACATTTATATGGGTGAACAGAGGCAGAAAGAAATTAAGGCCTCCATTTTCAGAAGCGGCATCTAATTCTGGGTTGCCTCCATTTTTGGATGCTCAGATTCAGCAACCCGGGGCCTGATTTTCAGAGGTGCCAAACAACTGCAGCTCCAGCTGACATCAGTTGGAGTTGTGGGGACCACCTGAATATCAGGCCCTTGCAGTCTTAAGCTCAGCATCCAAAAATGGAGGGACCCTAAATTTGATGCCCCAGTGACATGAATGCAGATCTTTACTGTGGCTTCAGATCACATCTTGAGTGACTTGCCTGAGGTTACACTCTGAGTCAGTAGAACAGCTACAACTAAAGTCCCCTGGCTTCATCCATTTGCCATCTCTCCCTTTCCTCTTTGGACTCATGGTTAATATGATGCTGAAATTATCCCCAGCGAAAGGGATTTTAACTGTGTGGCAGTATCTCATTGCTTCTATCACTTACATGTTTCCAAGTTTTCAGCCTCTGTATCCACATATTTTTAAAGAATATTAATAGAACTACTCGTCAAGCAATGGTACATTGCGGCTTCTGATATGTATAATTTACATAAATTATTTTTAAACAAAATAAAATCCTCCACGGGAGCATAAAATTAAAGTTGGAATGCGATGGAGTGAAAATGATTATTTATTGTTATGATAGCGTAAGAGATTGGATTTAAATAGGTGATGGCATTTAAAGGCTTTCCCCGTTTATCCTTCTCCTGTGTGTTCTTGGCAGTAGGGAAAAGAGCACAGAGATGGGACGTGGAAGAAGGAAATGAAAGGAGTATCAAGATTGGACTCATTGGGGGAACAGAAGAAATAATTGGGAATGCAGTAGGAGACAAGTCTTGAAAGCGTGTCCAGGTTGTGCTGTGCCTTGAAGGGGAGAATGTGAAATTAGAACTCTATGTGGTATTTTAAGAGTTGCCCGTAGATGAATGCAAGGCGGCGGGAGAGGGGGTGATCTAACATGATCAGATCACCGAGCAAGGAAAATAACCTTTGCAGTCATGTTTTGGATGAATTGGTACAGGCAATGTACATATCTAGAGGGCTAGAATGTAGTAAGTTGCAGTAGTCAAGATGGGAGAGGCTATGGCATGGACAAGCATTTAGGCCACATGGGCAAGAAAGATCAGATTTTTTGTGTGTGTTGTGAAGGGGGAAAAAAGGCAGCAGGGTTTGGATATGGTGGGAGATGAAAAAGAAAGTGTCAGAGATGGTTGCAATCCTGGACAACGGTGGAGGATGCTGGTGCTGTCAATTGCCAGAGAATGGGGAAAGCGGAGAGGTTTTAGAAGAGAATATATTAAATGTCTCTGATGTTATCGTTATAGCACCAAACTTGTTAATCTGCACCGCTGGCTGGAAGATCCTTTGGGAAGCACACCTCTGAATTTTGAAAGCATTTTGCAGGAATACTTTTATTCCTTTCAGAGACTTCACAACTACAGATATTACTAAAGATGAACACACCAGTAGGAATCTTTGAGTTCGTGAAGGGGCCCCACTGTGAATTAATCAGATACTTTTCCCACAAGTGGTCATTCTGTTTAATAATGCTGACTGGAAGACAAATGGACCAGAAGAAATAATACGTACAGAGAATTCCTCAGATGAATCTTGGCATTTATGCAGTAGGGGAGCTCATCTTCTGTGCACTTCAAGTAGTGCAGTGCCCTCCTGTGTATCATTACAGGATGGGAGCCTTACTAATGCAGTCCACTCTGCTAGCCCAAGTAAGGAAGCTCTTTTGCTCGTTCTTGTGAACCTTAGAGGGGAGCCTGGTGCTGTAGAAAACTTTAAAAACCTCTTGCATAATGTTTCCTGTACGAACACCTACTAGCCTGACGAGGTAGGTAATATTATACATCCCACAGATGAAGCCTCATCCCCCAACCCAGGTTACATTTTCAGAGGTCTTTTTTTTTTAATTAAAGCTGTTTGTGGGAATTTCTTCAGTTAATTTAGAATTACAGCTGCTGATGTGCTTCACATAAACTTTATATTAACCACATAACTAAGGCACGGCCATTGAAAAAACTCTGGAAGGTTGGAAAAGACTGGTAATGATCAGCTAAGGTAACATATGTACATTTTCTGCTACCTTTGCAGGCCCCAATTCTGCACTATAGAAACATAGCAATCTTCCCATGTGGATCGCCATGCAAGATTGAAGCTATACTTTAACTGGATGTATAATGTCAATATTGACATGTTAGAATTCACCTTACTTAGTCTAGTATCCACCATAACTCTGACTCCAAAACTTACTTGCAAACCCTTCCAACATATGCACCACTAATATATGTGCTTCTTTGACTGTATAAACTACATGTCATAGCGATACATATATTGAAAGCGTTGCATGTCTTGTCAGTGAATATCAAAGGCTGTTCTTGGAATATGTACTGTATGATTTCACCTATCAGCATTGGTTCCCAGTGGTCATGCTGTAGTTACGTATTTTGCACATGGACCATATGAATTACCTCAGCAATCTTAACTCTTTGATAACCAAGTTTTTTGTAGGTAAACTGTGTAATTTAGTTTAAGTACAGTTGGTTAATGAATGAGTTGTTGACCAAATTTCAGACTTATTTGTATTTTCAGCTCTCTGTCGGAGGGCCTCAGTGATCTTCTCCTTAATAGTTGACAGCTTATTGTCAGGAAAATGCCAACTGTGTCCAAATGCCCTTATGTTCCACTTGGAATCTATCACTGATTTTCATCATGATTTGTGTAGTAACTAATGATCTTCACTTTTTATTGATCTAACAGCTGTTGACATTTCTAAGCTAGCGCACATTGCTGTAGTGGGTTTGAGCTACTTCTGTAATCCAGCTTCAATATTGAAAGTCGTCCCTTAATGGCAGAAATTCAGATGGGCAGTGCAGAAGTGGATTCGTTTACTTAGAGGCCTCCAACTGTGACATCAGCTCTCACGTTCACTAGTTTGGTATCTTCACTTCTTAAAACCAAAATTGGAATGGCAAAGCAACTGGCCAGGGAATAGTCTTGTTCTATCAAGTGCCATAGGGCTAAAGGGATTTCATATACTGCATTTTGCAGACCTTTTGCTACCGTGTACCAGCTGCTGCCTAGCTTCCAGGTCACGAGCCTCCAGCACCACATAGTGCAACAGTTCTTTATTAGCTTGGATCAATCTTGCATCCAGGTCCTGGCACAATACAGATAATTTGCTGCTGAGTGTGTGTTCTTTACTTTGTACAATAGACATCTTTGTGAAGTGTTTTTCTCAACCTCATTAAAAGCATGCAATTAGCTAAAGATGCCTCATTTGCAACCAGGCATATGCCTAGTTGAGCCTAGATCAAAACTGTCTGCTACCAGCTCTCCTTCATCCAGGAAACCAGTTGAATTTGTAACTTCTTACCCAGCTACGGCACGCTTCATTGCCGTAAATGCCTGGTGTTCAAACACTTTTCTGTCTCATTAAATTGTCTATATTTTCATCAGATTTAGTGCTCTAGGGATTTGACCGTGGTTTTAAGTTCTCTAGTTGGTGGGCTGTTTAAAAGATTAAAAATTGTATTTGTTATTTATTGATCTGCACGTATATATAAAATGTGGTGCTTAGCTCTGCAGAATGGTTCTTGAACTGCTTGGTGTGTGTATTCACTCTAAGTTCAACTGCTTTACTGCAGTTCCAGGATTGTTTTGGGATCAGTAGAACCTCAAGTAACATTTATTGTGTTCTTTAACTTTTTAGGAGTTTGTCCAGCTCTCCAAAAGTCTGATGAATGACCCCACTTTGGAAAGAGAAATTGTGACAAAGGCAAAAGCGTATGTGAAGAAACACCATTCATGGGACGGTGAAAGAGAGGCCTATCAAAATCTTGTCCTGAGACTCCAGTGAATCATTGGGTATCAAATGTGGAAACTGATCTTATTCTGTATCACTTTAATGGTGACACTGTAATCAAATTATTTTAAAGAAAAAAAATTCACATATTATGGACATATTGTTCCACTCGACTTTGCCCAATTTACAAACATACTGCATCAGACCGGTGGTCCATCCAATTCACCATCCTGTTTCCAGTGGTGGCGGCACCAGTGAAATCAAGAAAATGTCGATTTCTTAATATTGTTGGATCATATGGGCCTCAAAAGAGGGCTATTTCTTGTGCACGGGGTGGATTTCATCCACAGTGAACTCATTCAAACTCAGTTACTGTGTTGTAGCCTGACAAAGCTAATGGGGATTAAGGCATTTACACTCAAATTTAATTAATCTGAATTTATTCAGATATATGTCAATGATAAACAATGTTGTAAGAATGGGTTCATCTCTATTTTGAATGATCAAACATATAAATACATTAAGCATGTTAGCCAGGCCTACATGATCTAAATTTTAAAGGGGGAAGATCATAAATTAATCACATGACTAGCACTTTTATCAAGAATGGAACTGGCTGGAGCTAATGAGAAATACAGACATTGATGCTTTCTAGCATGAAAAATTGTACTCACTGTTTGCTGTTTACATATTCTACTTTATTTATGAATTATTGGAAGACAGCAACTACCTCTTAAAAATTACGAAACTTCAGGGACCTCACAAATGGTGAATGTTCTTACAAAAGATGGATGGAGGCTATAATAAGGAGCAACAATGTAATTTAGTACTTTTGTCATGAGTGACTCTCAGGAGTTATTATTGTGAACTTAATGTAACAGGATATTGTATTTTAAGAAGAGCTACCGTACTAATGCCCACATGAAGCCTAAACCAATCATTATTGACTGCTCAGTGGTTAAAGTAATATCTTGGTTTTCCACAATCTGGTGTCAAAGAAGGCTGCTATTTCTAAAACACGCAAAGTGTTTACAATTTTTAAACATCTGTTGTTGGGAAACTATAGTTGCTATATATGGGCCTGATCCAACCCCCACTGAAGCCAGTGGGAATCTTTCCATTGACTTTGGGCAGGTCTACACTTACTTCCTGGTCCGGCCGTAAGCAATCGATCTTCTGGGATCGATGTATCGCGTCTTGTCTAGACGTGATAAATCAATCCCGGATCGATCCCGGAAGTGCTCGCCGTCGACGCCGGTACTCCAGCTCGGCGAGAGGAGTACGCGGCATCGACGGGGGAGCCTGCCTGCCACGTCAGGACCCACGGTAAGTTCGAACTAAGGTACTTCGAATTCAGCTACGTTAATAACGTAGCTGAATTTGCGTACCTTAGTTCGAAGTGGGGGGTTAGTGTGGACCAGGCCTTAAATGGGCTTTGCATCACCCCCTATTTGTGTTAATGAATTTACTGTGCATGTTGGTTTTCCAATTGACCTCTTGGTTGTGTTGCAAATGTTTAGTCAGCAACCCTGAAGAAAAAGAGTAATTTTAGTATCCTTCATTCACTTCTGAGACCTTTTCTAATTTTCTATGGTAATATATTTGGAGTGGTTTGACTCAGTTGGTACTGTCCTCAATAGCATGGGACATTGCAAACCATGGGAGACAAAACTGGAGTGACTTCAAGGGTTATAACTGCGATGCTGTTTCTATAGATGTTCTCTTGCTCTTATGGTTTTTGGTAAAAAACAGCCTGGCTCAAAGGGGAAGGAAAATCATCTATTATGATAGAAATGGAAAAAAAGGAGAAGTTGATAGCAATGCATATAAATTAGAAGCTAGAAAGTATAGAACATTAATAAGGGAAGCAAAAGGACACAAGGAGAAATCTGCGGGCAGTACAGTCAAATAAAATAAGTTTTTTAAATTATATAACAAACAAAAGGAATCTTAACAGTCTTAGATATTGGTTTATTACTATATGGATATGGTAGACCAGTAAATAATACAGAAAAAGCCAAAGTGTTCAATCCATATTTCTGTTCTGTATTTGAGGAACAAGAGATGATGTATTTATATCGTATGATGATAGATTTTTCCAATCACAGTAACTAAGGATGATGTTAAACAGTCGCTATCTAAAGTTAGACATGTTTTAATCAGCGGGTCCAGATAACTTGCACCTATGAGTTTTAAAAGAGCTGGCTAAGGAGCTCTGTGGACCAGTAGTATAGATTTTCAATAAGCCTTTGAACACTGGGGAATCTCCAGAGGACTGAAAGAAAGCTAATGTTGTGCCAATATTTTAAAAAGGCAAGTGGGATGACCCAGCTAACTGTAGGCCTGTCAGCCTGACATTGATCTAAAGCAAAATAATGGAACAGCTTCTATGGGACTCAATTAATAAAGAATTAAAGGAGGGTAATATAATGAACGGCAATCAATATGGGTTTATGGAAAATAAGTCTTGTCAAACTAACTTCATATCACTTTTTGATGAGTTTGGTTAATAAAAGTAATAGTGTTGATGTAATATTCTTCTGTAAGGTATCATACATCATCTGGATTAATAAACTAGAATGATGCAAAATCAACATGGCATACATTCAGGGCCGGCTCTAACTTTTTTGCCGCCCCAAGGAAAAAG